TCAATGTTTTGATCAATTCACATAGTTAAGTTAGTAGGCTACTGGAGTTCCTTCTCTCTTTTCCCTTTTTCCTTTTCCCTTTTCCTTCTCCCTTCCCTTTTCCTTTCCTTTCTCCTTTTCCTTTCTGGCTTTGTGAGAACAAAGCCAGATATTGAGCAATGAAGAAATTGTGTGAGGGGGAATGTTGAAGAAAGGTGAGTGAATTAATGAGATTTTAGGTCACACTTCATATAAATGAGCACTTTCTTTTTGTTAACCTGTCTAAACTTTCATACCAGGAACAGCTTACAGGCAGTAATTTCCACAGGAATTCTGCAGCGTGTAGAAAAGGACTTCTGCAGATACATTTCTCAAAGCACAAGGAAGGGGGCTGGAGAGGAAGTAACCCTGATTTCTTTATTTTCTATTTTAATATACCTAGATTTTCAAACCTTTCCTAGGAAACTTTCTGCTGACAGGTGAATTTAGCAAACCTGGCCTAATACAGGGCTTGTTACAGATAGATACATTAATATATATAACTCAGAAACTTATTTAATTAGCATTCATTTATTTTAGTTCATTGGAAATCTTAATATAAATGATATTGTTAGAATTGACATGTGAGGATGAAGCTGAATAGACTGTGGTTTTTAAACTGTCATTTTGCACTGCAGCATTCATTTATTGGCAAAGATGCTTTATGTATTGAAGTTCTACACCAATTGCATGCAAAATGAAGTCCTTTTATACGTCAGTATGCTGCCTATGGCTGTAATTACAGCAATGTGCACACGTCACGTTAATAACATGGAGGAAATCCGCAGTGCCACAGGATCCGCTTCTGTTTGCTGTAATTGCTGCGATTAGTAAAAGGGCAGAAAACGTATTTGCTTAGTCCATCAAAATAAGTTATACAGTATTTAAGAAGTGAGGGTTATATATAGTTGCATTTCTCAGTAAGTCATGAAGATCAGCAGGGGTCTTGTTAAAATTATGTCTGTTTTCTTTCCCATTTKCTGTGGAGGCAGAATAAGGTCTTTGCCAGGTTGGTAGGGGTCATAGGGGTCCTTGTCATCACAGAGGTAGCTTTCTGAAGAATGTTCCTATCCTTTATCATTTATTCACTGATCCTTTAAAAGACAGTAAATTGCAGAGTGCAGTAATGACATTTGTGAATGAGCCACTTGTTTTGTTCTCTGATGGGGTGCGTGGGCTGGAAAAACAAGAAGATAACCTGCAGTAAAGTCTTATTGGCTCAGTTAAAACTAAAACCAAATAAATAAATAAAAACTTTGTAGTCAAAGAAGGTTTCCTGCATGTGTTTGTTCTGTGTCTGCTTAAGCCATGTGCAAATTGCCTTCACASCTACTCATTGCAAATGAAAGTTAGAATATTATCCTAACTTATATYGAAATTGAATTTGCATGTGAAGAAATTTAATATGCACTATCTGAGGTCATGAAGCCARTCATGCAATTACATGACTTGAGAAGTTCCCATTTTTATCACTCTTTTTTCATAGTAGTTTGGTAGTTCTGTTATGCATTTTTCTTGGAACCTGTGTCTGCCAGCGCTTAGTTTGTGTCATGTAATTATTCCTCCATGGTGTATTTATTCAAACCCACTTAAAATGATTGTATCTGCAAAACCTTGATCTCATATCCTTCCTCCAGTGTACCTAGTTTTTTGTGTTGTAGAATGGAGTAAAGTTTTGTTTGTGGATTTAATCAGGAAGCTCGTCAAACCTCTGATTTTGATGTGTATTAACAGTTGTGTTAGAATGACAGGCAGTTTTGATTTGAGGTATTTYGCAGACGATCTCAAACTGGTTGGAGTGACCGACACTCCGGAGGGCTGTGCTGCCATTCAGAGGGACCTGGACAGGCTGGTGAGTTGGGCAGAGAGGAACCTCATGAGGTTCAATAAGGACAAGTGCAGGGTCCTGCACCTGGGGAGGAATAACCCCAGGCAYCAGTACAGATTAGGGGTYGACCTGCTGGAAAGCAGCTCTACGGAGAGGGACCTGGGAGTCCTGGTTGGCACCAAGTTAACCATGAGTGAGCAGTGTGCCCTCGTGGCCAAGAAGGCCAATGGGATCCTGGCTGCATCAGGAGGAGTGTTGCCAGCAGGTCAAGAGAGGGGATCCTGCCCCTCTACTCAGCTCTGGTGAGGCCGCACCTGGARTACTGTGTGCAGTTCTGGGCTCCCCAGTATAAGAGGGATGTGGAGCTTCTCGAGAGGGTCCGGCGGAGGGCAACAAAGATGATTAAGGGACTGGAGCATCTCTTGTGTGGGGAGAGACTGAGTGAGCTGGGCCTGTTTTCTCTGGAGAAGAGAAGGCTGAGAGGGGATCTGATTAATATGTATAAGTATATGAAGGGGSAATGCAGGGAGGAAGGGGCCAAGCTTTTCTCAGTGGTGGCCAGTGATAGGACAAGGGCCATAGGTGCAAGCTGAAACACAGGAGGTTCCATCTCCARGTGAGGAGAAACTTCTTTACTGTGAAGGYGACAGAGCCCTGGCACAGGCTGCCCAGGGAGGCTGTGGGGTCCCCTTCTCTGGAGATCTTCCATATCTGCCTGGATGTGGATCCACCCTGTGCCCCGTGCTCTGGGTGTCCCTGCTTGAGCAGGGGGGTCAGACTAGACGATTTCTAGAGGTCCCTTCCAACCTTAACCATTCTGTGATTCTGTGATTCTATTCCAGTTCTCTAATACCTCTGAGTTCTTTTTCTGAGTGCTTTTTCTGTCACACATGTTGTAATTCTCTAGTAAGGAAAGAACTACCGGGTCATTGTACAGAGTTTCTGCGCAGAYTTTGTTTCCCTCTATTAAGAAACATTGAGAGACATTCAATCAAATTTAAGCCAAAATGTCAGAAAAATGTTGTGATAAGTCAGAGAATAGCCAGAGATGGCTACTTTTTTGAGGTATTGAGGCACTGAAATGTGTCAATGGATCTTTTTTCTGTCTGTGTATCTCAATAAAATTATAATAGGTTTAGATATGACTGTTATTTTCATTATCCCATTTTATCAGTTGGCACAATGTCAGCATTAAAAACTTTTGAATTAAAAATGTTTGAAAATAAGAGTAATTAGTTTGACAAATTACTTCAAAAGTAGTAATAGTAATAAAAAATATATAGACAGAAAAAAATCTATGATGATTATTGGATGACTGAAAGTAGAGGAAATACCCTGAAATTAGGGATAATGCAGAGCTTTAAACTTGAATCACCACCAAGAAACTCAGTTGAGAAAGAAACCTGTACATCTTACAAGGGGAAGTCAATTCTGCTTTGAAATCAGCCAAAGCAACCTGTAACAGCTCTTATCTCTTGCTTTTTAGTATGCGATATGATTACTTTTGTTACTATTACTGTATAGTATAAATATTAATGTAAGATTCTGTTAATATTATTATGTAAATCAACATCTTTCAGTGGTTCCAAATCATCGAATGTATTTTTATGTGTTGGCGTCTTTCAACATATTGTTGAAAGCTTGTACACATGCTAGTTGGATACAAGAAATTCTTCATTTTAATATTTAGTGGTATACAAAACACCAAATCGTACACAGATAAACCTGCTTTATGTTATTTAGAGTTGGAGCAATCCCCGAGTTTAAATGCTGGAAAAGCTATTCCCTCTTTTCTAAGTAATTTTTTTTTTATTAGTGGAAGAAATGTGCATGTACGTAGTTTTCTTTCACATCGTATTTATATTGTAGATTGAGAATAATAAGGGAATTATATAGAGAAGATGCTTGTAGTTGTGTATTTCTCCCTTTTTGGTCTTCATATGAAAAAAAAAAAGGTTTTGAGATCAAAATCCTATAATTCCTGTTGGCATAAAGATGAAGATTTAGCAATTCTGGTTGATAAAAATCTTTTATAATTTGTAAAGTAAGAAAAACATGTTTTGGCAAAAATGTCAAGGTTTCTTTGCACCTAGATACCTAACAGGACTGATTTTTAAAACACTCAGCTTTGATCACACAAGGGTTCATACATACTTGCATGCGCCTGTACCTTGTATTTGTGAGAACATTTGTTTGCATTTTGCTCAAGCTGCCATGCTCGGTATCATTTTGTTTATAGTCAGTATCAGTTGCCAGTTCTCAGACCTTAATCTGAGATGATTCTGAATTCACCACCTTGTAGGAGACATTTCTTGCATTTTAGTATGCAGATTTTTTTGTCAATCTAGTTTTAAGGAGAATTATAACATTTCCATTRCTACTGAGGTAAGCTGGCTTACTGCCATCTGAAGAGACAGCTGAGATGATAATTTTTCATTACTACACTGAAGGTTTGGGAGGTGGGAGAATGACACATCTGGTGTCTCTGTTGCTGTGAAATCCAGGAGTCGTGACATTTTTCACTAAATTCCAGTGTGAGAATATTTTAATGGCACAGTGAAATACATCTCAACTTTGCAGCAGCATCACTCAGCAAAGCTGAATGGGTGGAAAATCTTTTTTGACCGCAGCCTGAACTATCATCTCAGCTTTTTCATTTGTGGCAGATCTGGCACAGAATGAGTGGAGTTGAAAGGGCCTGTTCTCTGTGGATAGTATTTGCTTAAGAAAAGACCCATTTTTCCTATGGAGCTGCTTGCAAAGATTTTTATTCTGTTTTCGTGTTTGCAAAAGGAAGAAATATTTTGATTAAACAAATAAATTCAGGTATTTTATAAAATTGCTCAGATAATGCAAGAAAATAGAGAATAYTTAGGGTGCCTACATCGACTACAGTGAAATAGTTTTCTATGTAGATGTTATACATCTTGACATCCATTGAAATAAAGGGGCGACTGTTTACATAAAATGATAACCACTAAAATAATTTGCTAAATGCATTCAGTTATGTGATGCTTAGAACTTGCCAAGAAGAACATGTACTAATTCCTATCCACCTCCATTGTTACCTTAAGAGTAGCTCTCTCCATAGCAACTGAAAACTTTTCAAGGCAGCAATAAACTAATCCTCTCCAGCTTCCAGAGAACCATCAAGGAATTTTAAAAACATCGGACTTTCAGCAGCTAAATACTTCGGAGGATTCAAAAGGCCACAAAGCTAGAGATACACAATCATTCTTTTTTTTCCCTACAAAAAGGTAAGAAAATATTTAGAAATAAATRGATCTTCATAACTATAATACATATTCCTAAAGGCTAACAGCAAAATTTATCTAAGAACCACAGCATTTTTCCTAGCATTTAAAACGTACTAATCTTTTCTGAGTGAATGCCAGTGTGAATTCAGCAGTTGTTTTTTGTTTTTTTTTTTTTCCTTTTAAATAATCTGTTAGCAGAGTTTTCTTTAAAATGTCGCATATGTATTATGCGGCAGTTAAAGAGAAGCTGAACTTCTGTGAGACTCTCTAACATATGTGCATTTTAATCAGCAAATTTATGTAGCTACCAGCCTCTGCTGATCCACAAAATAAAAAACTCTTGGTGGAAGACAAAACTTAAACTCTTCTATCCTTCTTGTGTTTTGATATTGAGATATACATTGTTAAAACAGAGTGGTAGTAGCTTAGGAAGGATATTTTCAGGACAGGTTTGTGGTACAATATGTCTTTGGCATCTAAGGTTTTAGCTAAACTAATTACTTCTGGTATATTTGTCTTGTTTATTCATTAAGYTGTATGAATGAGCTTATTACTTATTACCAATCTTGTAACTTTCATCTGACTACGAAGTATCACTAATTTTAGGCCCATTATGCTCATTCTTGTTTGGTGTTGTATAGCTTACAGTTATATAGTTAAGTTACACTGGGAAAGTGTTTTGAAAATAAAACCTGCTCTTTTTCATTGCTGTATAACATATTTACTGCACATTCATATCGAAATTACTCTAGTAATCTTTATTTGGACTTATTTCTGCTATAAAAACCTGTTTGGAGTGCAAGTGAAAGCTATCACATTTTCCTGCTCTGCAGAAGAGTTAGTTCAATAATATAGCACTGATATGAAAACTGTACACTTCACTTTTAGGAGGAGAGAAAGGCAGTTTGAGTCGACCCCTTTCTGGTAACTCTGCAGAAGTTTTAAGGCCATGGTCGTCTTAGTTTCCTGCTGCTCAGGGCTGTAAAGTCCCTACAGGCTCCCTGTTGTTCAAAACAGCTTGTCACTGCAAATCAGCTTAGCCAACCAATTAATAAATCCTTGCAAACATATTGCAGTCGCACTAATTAAAGGGTTGGGGTTTTTTTTTCCTCCTTTACTATTCAGATTCCTCAGATTTCAAGTTTTAAGCTGTGAAGCGAGAACAACAGCCGAACATTCGGTACAGATCACGCACGGCAGGAAGAGGAGATGTGTTCTCTGACCAAGCAGCCAGCTCTCGGGGTGGTATGTTCTGCTTTCCTGTTCGGCGTGCTCGTTGCTGAAGGACAGTCTGGGGAAGAGCATGGGCAGGACGGCAGCTCTGCTCCCGGCCGAGGCTATCTGGTGGAAGTCGTGCGCGTTCTTTCAGCTGGCGACACTGAGCTCCACAAGAACCACTCTCGAGAACTGGTCAGAACGTTGCTGGAGAGAGCTGAGTGCCCACAGCGGATTTATGGCATGCAAGAGGAGTGTAATCTGGTTAGTGCTTCACTTAATGAGGGATGCCTCTATAGGATAGCCAGTGAGTTCTGTTTCTTAGGCTGGAACCCTCCTGGATGCAAAAGCGAACACATAAAAGGCTGCTGTTTACAACCAAAATGTCCCTGTTTTAACTGTTTTATTATAGATTATGAATATTTCTCATTTGATCTCAGGGATATTCCAACTATGCCAGGTATACCTTAAATACTCCCTGTTCCTTTTACATAAGATTAACAATTTATCTACTAAATGTCTATTTTCTGGGCAAGTTTTTTCTGTTTTTGCTGATCTAACTTTAAAAGCCAGAGCTTCAGTTTGGGACACAGAGGCCCACTGTAGAAAAACATCAGTAAAAATCGGAGACAAGTTCTGTTTTGTTTATTTGTTTTTGCTCCAAATTTTAGTTTATAAAAATAAATTCCAGACAGGACTATTTCAGGTTCATGTGCCTATTCACTGAAGTACCTAAGACTAAGGGGGGGTGTTGCTTTTCTTTTTGTGGTGGTGGTGTTCTGTTTTGTTTGTTCTTTAAAGCAGTTTGGGTCAAGGAAGACCAATGAATCTGTGAATCTGGATTTGCAGTAATGCAGGGTGCAGCTTCCCAGAAGGTTCAGTTGTGAATTGAGGATACTTTCAGCACTGATTCCTGGTTTGGCAGGAAGGGAACAAGAGAAATGAGATCATAAGTTTGGGGAAAGGGAGACAGGGATAAGAGAGGAAGTTAGATGAGAAGGACTTGCTCAGTCTTGGCTTTAATTACATGACTCTAGCTCTTGTTTGATTCAGTGGCCTTCATACAGCAGATTGTCACTTTATATTAGAATTATGAAGAGTCCTAGTAAGGACACATGCTTTGACACTATCGTTTGCTTGGCAGTCAGTGAAACCAATGGAATAGAGGGTTGTTTTGCTTGGTTGGTTGTTTTTTGTTTTTATTTTTYGGGGGGAGCTTGGGTTTTGTTTGTTTTTCCTATGCAGTGAACATTTACTTACTTAAAAGGCCCTTCTGGCAATTGCCCCAGAGTTTGTATGGGCCCTAGTGTGAAGTTTCATAGGTAAACATGTGGATCTCTCTTCCTAAATGGGTGGTTATGTATGAAAGAGATTGTGCAGAAGTTTGGCTCCATGCACATAGATATAATACCAAATCAAATGCTGAAAACAATTAAATAATAAGAGTATAGAACCTGAGCTTCACAAAACAGCAGATTCTCCCTATTGGTTTTGTTTCTCTAGATAGAGGGCTTTTTTTYTTCTATTTCTGACCTGTATGTGGAGAACCTAACTGTGGCCCTGGAGGGACAGAATCTAAGGGAAACAGCCAGGTCTGGGTTTCCACACAATTTTGATTTCATTTGGAACATTACTGTGGGAAGAATTTAAGGACTTTCTCCATTTCCAGTGTTTCTCAAGGCTGGATGTATCAGTAACACCTCATACATCCTTACAGTGCCATGTGAACACAGTTCCTTATAGAAAAACAGTGAGGGAGAGAAGCCACATGCAGTGCATACTGCTGTACTGAAATCTTCCAAGACGATTTAACGAGATTTGGTAAACAAAGATATCAAAAACTATGCGAGAAGTGCTGTCCTGCAAGATGCCCCAAATTTGGGACTGAATGCCCCTCCTCGGCTTGGCATTTTCTTTCCCACAGTAGATTGGAATAACTAAATGGTTTCAGGCTCAACTTGCCCTTCTAAAATCAGGATTTCAGTAATGTCGTATCACTTGTTTTTCAAATTTCTTTTCATTTGTAATGATGTCTGCAGTGAAGATTTAAAATATTGCAGGACATAATCATGTTCAAACCTTTTATTTAAAAAAACTTTTTTGGTTTATTTTTACCAATTGCTCCCCTAGAGATTTGGTGCAGGGGATGGCATCTCTTTAGCAGCACCTAACACTCTTTTATCTCCCAAGCATGCAAAAGGCATATATTTCTTCCAGTGGTAAGAAATTTTTTTTTTCTAACTCCTGGTCACTTAAACAAAGCAAACTCAGGGTTCTGTGTCCAGATTCAAACCTAGGCTCTTTTTTATAGCAAATAAGCTTTTCTAAACATAGGCCATGCACATGATTATACTTCTAAAATACAAGTAATACCAAAATAGCTGGTGATGATTCAATTTATATTCTCCTGATATCTTTCCTGATATATTCTTACCATCCACACTTCTTCTTGTTCTTTCTTTTTTCCTTTTGATTGAATATCTGTGAGATTTTTTTTAATGTCATTGTTAGAATTGTTTCTGTTATGAGGCGGCAGCATTCTCACTTGCTGCAGGGAGCAGTGATTTCTGAGTTCACCTAAAATATGTTAGATTGTGCTTGTGGGGGAAAATGGAGTAACAAAGAAGGTAACCTTACAGACTGGCACATCATASCCATTCTGTAGGCATAAGCAATGTCACCTGGCAAACTAGGTTCAAGTAGGACTTTTAAATTAAGAGGTTGTCAGAGTGTGCGATGAACATCCCATGGTACCTTCACATGTTGCAGTTTCTTACCACAAATGTACAGTCCTTTTGCTCTACTGTAAAGGTTCAGGTTGGCCGATATACCTATGAAATAGTTGGAAAGATCTGGTTGGGGAAAAAAAAATCAAAAAAGCTGACACAACAAATGACATTAGTTATAGGATCTCTTTAAGAAAGATTCTTTATTTTGGAATTCATTTATCTATTTCTTGTAGCTTGACAAATGCTATTGACCTTCTGGTATAGTTTTGAAGACTAACTCTGGCCTTCAGTGACTGTAGAAGATCTCTTTGTATAAGGAGGAATTGAGTCTTACAAATATTCTCCCATTAAAAAGATAAACTTCCATTCATGTGGAAGTCCCGAGTTAACTCTTCTTATGGCATTTGTCCTATAATATAAACTCATAGAGAAAATGCAGGTGAAAATATGATAAATCTAAACATATCTAGCCATATTTAATGAATTTATAACAAGAATTCAAGACAATTGAAGCAAGAGAATGACTTTCAAGTCTCTACAACAAAGTTTTGATCAGAATTACTTAAATCCCTTGGATATTTGACATTTGTTAAAAACAGAAAGTGCCCTGGAAAAAGCAGCAGTATRTGGTCTTGCAGTCTAGTGCAGAGCCAGCAATGAATAACTTGTGCCCTCCTCCTGTCATTCCATCAGCCTGCATCTGTGCAGCCTYAGGTTCAGTCCGTTAAATATAAGAATTAAATTCTCTTATTCTCCTTTCAAATACTAATTGCAGATGACTAGTAGTATTTTACTTGAGTTTAATTTCTTTSTTTTTTATTTTTAATTTTATTCACAGTGCCTTGAACCAGATGCTTTGTTACTAATAGCTGGTGGGGATTTAGAAGACCACCTCAGTGAAGAAGTATTTGAAAAAATATCTCTTATTCTTCTATACTATATTCTTCATCAAAGAGATATGTGTTCTTCAGATCTCAACTTGAGTAGTAAGGACTATAAATTTTACCTTCAGAGCATGCTTAGCTTAAGGCATGATGAAGACTGTTACTATTTTTCACAGAATGAAACAGAAGATATTTTGGCTGCAGTAAGACAACATTTTAAAACTTCTGAAACACAGGTAAATAAAAAATAACTAAAAATAGAATTTACTACTAATATAATGTCCATAAGCAAGCTAGTTCAGCTGTAACATCAATATTGTGTGTCTTCATGCAACTCGTAAACAAAACAGTGTGARAACACAGGCCTAAGTGTTGGTCAACTGCTGTACATACTGCTTAGCTACCAGCCTTCTCCTAACTTATTTTTGGGCTGTCCTACCTAGCTACGCTTCCACAGTGTGGGCACAGAACTTGGGAGATAGCACATACTACACATTCCCAAGAGGTAGTTTAAATGCAGATACCCTCAGTTTAGGGCTGAGGGAAGAAAGTGAAGCTGGGTAGAGATCTTGCTTTGACCCAAAGACTATCTCACCTATAGTATTTATTATGTAAATACACTATAACTGTTAATACTGCCAGTGATTAGTAGGAAGAAGAGCGCTCACAAAAATATTCTGGTTTTCTGTTAGTATAAACAATAGTATATACTAATCACTGCTAGTGATTAGTATAAAGAAGAGCACTCACAGAAATGGTGAATCGCCTTGATGTGATGACAATGCCAGTCTTTGCCAGTCTTGCAGCTCCATGTCCATAACGAGTCTGTCCAAACTTATATTTGCTTCCTTCAGCTGGGACAAATACACTTGTTCCCATSAGGAATCTCCCTTATAGTAAGACTGAAACACATGAGCTTAAACTTAGATTTGGAAGAAAATATATCATATTGACTATATTGGGCTGAGTGTGTACCTTTTATGTAAGGAAGCATGCAGCAGGTTTTCTCACCACTGTTTCTTATTATTCCTTATCTCAAGTAGGCCCTATAAACTAATGGAATAGCATTCTTGAACTCATCCAGAAAAAATATTTTCTGTATCATGATAATAAAATAAACTTTTGCCAGATTGGGTAAATCCTAAAGTATACATTCACCTGCTGTAAGGAGCTCCTTAAATCTGTTGGTAATATATAGTTTTTTTTTTTTTTTTTTTCTGAGAACTTTGAAATTGTCCTTTTCTTTTTCATTTCATTAGATTTTAACTTACACCATACTGTGGTAAGAGTTTGCTGCACAAGCAGAAGATGGCTAGGAGTTTCTGGCTCTGCAGCTGAATGCCAAAGGCCTCCAGTTCCTCTTTCTGTGTTTTTGTGCAATCGTTTCCCATCATAAATTATTCATTGACTAGCACTTTTGGTTCTAAGTCTTGGTGAACGTGCTGATTTCCAGGAACTCAAATGGTAACTGAGCAACTGTAAAGAGGCATTGGTGGGTATTTGGCATGTCAAGATAGAATAACAATCCATAAAGTACTTTACTGTGTGGTCTGTTTGTTTATGCTGGCAGTATGATCAATTGATGGGCCTGTTTAGTATCTGAGACCTCATCACTCACTGACATGAGAGAAAAGAGGATTTTTTTTTTAAATAAAAGGTACTCCAAACATTGTAGACTAAAGTTGTATAAGACGTTGTATCTAAAGTTTAGAATTACAACATTTGGGTTGAYAATGGAGGAAAGTAATGGAAGAAAAGCATTTTTGGCCACTCTCTATATGCTTTTGTTTTAAACTTTTGCCTTCTCTGTCATAGCAGCTAGTATATTATTAGAAATGAGAGATGAAATTTAGGGTTGTAGGAATGCAAATGTGCAATAGACTTGACAGGAAAAATGCTAGTCTCTCTGCAATGCTWATGGCATTAATGTAGTGAGATAAGTATGTATGGAATAAAAGATTCCTGTTCAGATAGTTGAGGAAGAGACGGATAAACTTGAAAATTTTAGCTCGTTTTCTTTGTAAAAACAGCTGGCTGACAGACTATTATCAACAACAGTCATGAGATTATTTATCTATGTCCATTTTCAATGTAAGACAGGCAAAGCAATCAAATCATTAAAACTTTGAGTCTGCAATGACATGAAAATTTAGAAATGTAAAGATAAAGAATTAAGTCTGTATTATTTGAGTCAATGTTTTATGCCTTAATAGAATCCCCTACTTTTTCTGCCTTTCTGGAAGCTGAAGAGACARTTGAGGAGAGGGAGCAGAAATAACAAAACAGCCTGAAAAATAAAACCCCCAAACAAAAACAAAAGTCATACTGAGTACTGAATGAGTTTCTGTAGTTCTTTCCCCTCAGAAACTGAAGCTGAAAGAACTACTCACCTATCTTTTCCCATTGAGCTTTCAGCCTTTTGCATTCTAGTGCTGTTGTGCTGGCACTGTCCTCTGGTTCTCATTTGCTGCCTGTTGCCAATTACAACTTTCATCATAGTATTTTTTTGCACCCTGGCTGTGTGTGAAACTGTTCTCTCCCATTTCTCCTCCTGCCACTCCRATTATTTAAATGGAGGTGACCAAGGCTGTCTTCATGCTGTTCTCTCCTGATTTCAGTGTGTTGATGTGAGCACTCTGAAGAAAAATGCTGATATAATGGACAAAGATGGTGCTGATGAACAGACACTTCCACGCCTGGCTGCTTCAATCATTACCCTGGCTCTCCAAGGTGTCTGTATGGGGAAAACAAGTTTACCCTCCCCAGAATTCTTTATAAAATATATTTTCAATTCTCTAAACAGTACAACTGAGCTCCAAGTGACAGGTAAGCTATCTGCTCATCTCTTGCTACCTTTTGCAAGACTYATTTGGTGTAAATTATCTTTAAGTGCATGAAGCACTTTTTGCACTTTATTTTAGATTTAAACGCCATTTCAGTTTAGAGTTGTTATGTAGACTCTCCTAAACATAAAAACACAGATGGAAAATAAGCTTTTTATTTTTGAAAATTTTCTGAGACATTTAAAACAAATTGTTACCATAATTATTAAATATGTACTGCCACTGTAACTTACGACTTACTTGCTCAATACAGTCTGAACTACCACAGAGAGCTCTGCGGGTAACAACCTCGCTGCGGATGCAGAGTGCACTGAGGCCTGCTTTACGCTGCTTCTTAATGCAGATCTTTATGCTATCTTAGCTCCTTCACAAGTGTTCAGGGGTAGACTAAATAATTTGTACAGGAGAGCCAGATTAGCTAGACACACTGGTCGCGCTGCAGCATAGCCATACCCCTGAGGACAGTGGTATGGATGGTGTACTCTGGTTTTGCTCTGTTTTCACCAAATGCTAGTATGGGCCAGCTGCAAATCAAAGCCACCTAAATGGACTTCAGGCTGTCCTAGAGTGTCTTTCCCTACCAATTTTCAGTTGTCAGTACCCACTCAGTGAGCCTGAAATATGCAAAGGGAATTTTTTAAATACTATTGCTGTTTCACTAGACCTGTTAGAGATGCTACTTAGCCATAAATAAACAGCTACGGGAGGGATCTAAGAAGCCCACAGTTAAAGAATTTAGAAAATTGAAGTATTGAGTTCTAAGCTGCTGCTATTAAGCCCTGTAAAAGATTCTGGATGCTTAGCAGTTTAGAAACTAAGCCGCCAATTCAGTGCCTCACTGTGGCTTTAGAAGGTTAATATAAGGCGTCCATTTTTTCTTCTTTGCGGCTAATGGTAATAGCAACACTTTACGACCATTTCAAAGTCCTGTAAAAGTTATATTGAGCACAGGTAAAAACAGGTTAAAAAGTTGCTTTAAGCATAGATAAAAACATTTTTACCACTTTCAGATTTCACAGAGGAACACTAGAAGTCATACAAAACATATAAAAAAGAAAAAAACTCCTCATCCCTAAACATGGACTCCTGGATTATACTTGCATGAACTAATTCTGCAGCATAACCCCTCCTTTAAAAATGCCAGTGGAGATCTTATGAAATAATTGACTCATGAGAATGGATGGAGGCAGCTGGGCACAGAGCTACTAAATAGCTATATATGGTGAAATCCAGGCCCCAGTGAAGACAATAGCAAGACTTTCTTGGTCAGTGGAGTTAGGATATCATTCAGAGAATCTAGAAGATATTCTTAACCAGTTTGTTACAGTGTAATTATATTTTAAGCCTAAGCTAATTAGATTTCCCCTTTAAATTTATTTAAATTCTCAGTATTATCTGGAAGATGTAGCAAGAAACTGGCAGCATGTAAAAGGAAAATTAGAGTTGCACTGACTGAACTGTTTGCTTAAGAAAAATAAAGTAGATAAACAACTTAGCATAAGCATTTTCTAAGATTAACATATATAGCATTTACTTTTTGTGAATAATATGTTAATCATAAAGGATTATCATGCGGAAACATTCTTAATGTCTTTAATCTAAATTCCTTTGAAATTATTTTGTGGACTACGTACCTTCTTAATGAACAAACTCAGGTTCTCAGAAAGTAGCTGTATGGCTTCATCTTGAAAATGCAGAAATGAAGGATGGTGACTGAATTTAAAAGACATAAGGGGGGAAATAACATGGGGTAGAGCATGCTCTCTCAAATAAATGACATGGGGTAGAGCATGCTCCCTCAAATAACAGCATTTAAGCAGTGGACACCCCCACTGCACCAAGATATATCGTGAGAAATATCCCCTACCTTGTTTTAGAAGATTGCAACTGTTTGCATTAGGAGTCTTGGCTCCCACCTTTCTACTTTGCTGCTGCAAACAAGCAGGTTTCCAGAGCAGCAACTTGACCAAAAGTGACAGAAAATCCCTCATCCTGTTATCCAGTTCTGAAGCACAAAAGTAGGATACTTTCTGGAAACCATATCAAGGACCTATCTTCCTTGTCTTTCTGGACAGGTGAAATACCATACCTAGCTATGGTATTTTGGCATAATGTTCCACTTACACAGGACAATCTGAAAGGCGATGAAGCTTTGTAGCAGGAATTTGCAGATAACCTAAGAAGAGACCCAGTATTAAATGGAAGATTAAATGCCTGTCATTCACATTTCCTTTTCTCCTGAGGAAGATGATTGGAAATGAAATATATCTGTGTAGAACTGTAAAGAAGCAACTGGTTGAATATATAGGTGACCTATTAAGCTGAAATTGCCAACACTACCAAAATATGAAGAGAAAAAAGCATGTAAATGAGCAGTCAAATAAATATTGAAAGTAACAAAATGTTAACAATTACTTTTGTTTCTTTTTCTTTTTAAATGTATATTATGTATATGGTGACGTTTCTATTTTCTACTAAATTACTAGAACTAGATCAACTCCTAAGCATGCTTGCAGACAGAAAGACCTGCATGGTAAATGGACAATTCCACAATCACAAAAGAAGACGTCATAATATGACAATCAAAGATAGTGGAACCATAAATATTCCAGTCAAAGCAAACCAAACAAATGGAGACTATGTGAAAAAATATCCTGAAGATCGTGAAAGGAAAAGAGATTGGAATCAGGTTAATTTAAATTTATATTATGATAGCCTTGGTCACAGAATTTCAATGACAAAAGTTCAAGTTGCTCTGCAAATACTGTATGATTGCTGAGGTAAAAGCTATGAATTTCAGAAGTCATATAGTTACATAATTATCCTTGTTTATATTTATTTAAATGTTAAATGTCAGAAGAGCTTTATGATTGTTGTGTATTTAGTGAAATGAGAATATGAAATCCTGCACTGGTTGATTACTATTAGGCAAAATCAGATGTTCCTTTAAGACTTAGAGGAGTGTGGTGTTATAGTTTCAATGTTTGTACATATTTCTTACAGATTTCTTGTGCTTCTATATCTGAGAGCATCTAGGGCCCCCTTCTATGACCTGTCAGAAAGAAAAGTTGTTCTATATTAAGAAGAAAAAAAAACCCTAAACCATTTAAGGTTTCTATGTAATTTGTTTCTAAAAGACTATTGTAAATTGAGGACAAAGAATTTCAAAATAGCCACTTCAAAACATGTAGAGTCTACTGGATAGAGCTTTAGCTGCTGCACAGTATCCTTTTGGGGAAGTTCAAAGAGCAGTGGCTTATTTTAGCTTACTTTATACCTTGAAATTATCCTACAATATCCTAAATATCCTAAATATTAAAAAATAAATAAACTTTGAAACAGTTATTTAGATGATAAATGACTTATTCCATCCTTCAGACTGAAAGACATTCCTTAGACAAAAAGGACACTTCTAATAAAGCAGGTATTTCTATTGTTTTCCTTTTTTTTCCACAGCTTAAATTAACTCAAGGATAAAGTTTTTCCTCTTTAGAGTAAAGTAAAAAATGTGAGGTTGACTTATGCTGAGTCATCCTTTTGTGATGTAGAACTGAGACAACTGTCATCTGGTTAAATGTCATTCTGCAAGTTGTTCATCCGTGTAATTTTACTGTATTTGGAATACATATCCTATCTGCATCATTATTTCATTCCAGCTGACCGCAAAAGAGAATCACACTGACCAGCTGACATTTGGCGTTTAGAGCAACTGGGGCCTCAATTTAATTTTAAATGGATGTCATTTTAAAACTATTTAACATTAATTTTAAATTATGAAGGTCAGAAATCAATAGTGATACTGTCTGAACAAGAAGTAAAATCATTCTCAGGTAATCAGAGAACAYATAAAACAATTTCTGATTTCTTGAACTTCTATTTGTGAGACTGACCATAAATCAAAAGGTAAGTATGCAGGGGGATTATTTCAGGCTTGGAATTCAAACTAAGAATAAAATATTGTGTATAAATGCTGGAAAATTACAAAGATACTTTTGCAGAGAAGAAGTCTTCTCTACTGACTCCTAGCTTCTACTTATTCCATTTCTCTTCTTTTGGCTATGTCTATTTTCTTTGACATATTCCATTAGAAGGATTTGTGTTTCAGTGTTGTTGCTAATTTTATCTCCTTTCTGCACATATCCATGATAGCCTTTGTGCTCCATTAGTAACAGATGCTGCTGTGTATGAGGCATTGACTGGTTTATGGCTTGCATTTGCTAGCTGCATTAGGATCAGTAATTTGATTTTTGGATAGGAATTATATGTTGAAAATCATCACAGAAAAAAAAGGGTCATTGCTTTCTTTTTAAGTCATCATTGCCTCTACTGATTTTTAAAATGCCTACCGAATTTAAGTAAATAGTAGATGATCTAATTAGAGCAAATTATTCATATTAGGAAATGCACTTTCCATTTACTTACTTTTTCAGGATCGTCCTGCAGGAATACTACATAGTTGCTTTACTAATAAAAGCCTAACGCACTCCCTCCCTATCTTTAAACCCAGTTTAGACTATGACATTTCTAGCTTGCTGACTTTAAAATGACAGACCCTTGTTAGGAGGATTCATAAAAGAACTCAGTTTTGTATGTTCCTGAAGATGTAGCAAAAGAACTTTTTTTTTCCTGAAATATCTAGTGACATCCAACTTTAACGGTCAAATAAAAGAATTTGAATATTTAAGTAATTTAATAAGAATAAAATAAATAAAACCCAAGTCTTTCTAGCCTCTACCATCCTGTATCCTTCTAAGATTCTACATTTAACCTCAACATTAAATACATATGGTCCATATTCAGTAACTGTGTATACTTTCTACATAGGCTTGTTTCTCTGCCAATGAACTTGTGAAGATATTTCTAAAAACTAGTCCTTCATCCATTTCTAAGGAGCACTTCAAGCAAATCAGTCCGGCAATCATTCAACAGCTATTAAGTTGTTCATGTCAGCTTCCCGAATCCAAGCAGACAAAGCTTCCACCAACAGCTTTGGAAAGTGAGTTATGTTTGTTACTAACCATATAGTATTTTGCAGGTAAAGTGAGGTGCAGGGTTTCTGCAGACTCATTAACTATCTTAAATCAAACAAGTTGAGATTTATGCAGCAAGTAATTTCATAGCATACRTATTAGAAAATATTAGTATATTGAGTATTGTGGGGGGATTTAATGGTTTCATTTTTGWATTAGATGGAATTCTCTTTTAAGTTATATTTTCTTTATTTCCTAGAAGACTTAGGTATGGTGGAAGGTGAACCATGACAGGCCTTGCATTGCAGAGCAGCAGTGATCCATCTTGTGAAATTTATAACAGATTTATAATGGAATTATGCATTTTTTGTGTGTGTAAAGGCTCAAGACTATGTTAGCTGGCATTTTTTTCCATAATGTGATGAGTGCTTAATACAGATAAATTCTGAGAGCGATGTACGAACATTGACGATTTTTCATGTTGTGATATTTCACAGCAGAGAAATTTGGTGGCTACCTATTGTGAAACAGAAACAACCAGCAAAACCAATCACATGAACAGCAGGAGCTGTACAATTGAGCTGGAGCAAGAATCGAGTTAGAGTACAATCGAACAGATTGTTTCCAGCTGCAGTGGATTAGAGGAAGGTGGTTGTAGCCCTCACATGCCCTGCTCCCAGAGATTTCTGGCCCGCCAGCCGTAACTCCTCCTGTAAATGCTCCCTGCGCCACACTATTGAAAAGAAAAAAATCCAGTCTGACCTAAGTGCTTCTTAATGGTGCCTTTTTTTTTTTCCTTTTTCTAAAAAAGGCACATTAATCTTATGTTAGATAAGGGCATGGAAGGAGATTCATAGGCATTCCAGGAGCTATAGGAGAAAGAAACATACAATATAGTAAAAAGAAGACAATAGTCTCTAGAAGGTAGTAGTCCTTTTTCRTGTTCCCTCTCTCTTACTTAGCTGAGCACCTTGCAGTCTTTACTGCTTTTATCCTTACAATKCTACAACAGGTTCTTTTATGCCCATTTTTCAGAGGTGAAATCAAGGGAGAAAGAAAGTAGGAAACTTACCCAGGACACACATACAAAAATCATGGCAGATTTGAGACCATCAGCCCTAACCACTGGCATTATAGAAATCTCATAGGGGCAAAAGATGAGTGTGGGTGAAAGATCTTGAAAGACAAATAGAGAAAGATATTGAAAGACAAGTAACAAGAGATATTGAAACACAAAATGGAATGATTATAAGTCCTTTCTGCAGCACATGTTTATAGATGAAGGGAGATTTCTATAACCATAAGGATATTTCTCATAGTTTAGGACAAAGAAACAAAGGACTGCATGTTAGACCTATATGTGGCTTACTGACGTGAGACATTAATTTTATTCTCAGTTATTTTACTGACAGGGTATGCTGTTTTGGGTAAGTCATCATGGCCTGACCTTCTGAAAGTATCTACTATGCCCTTGTATTTGGATGTTCAGTTTGTGAAATTTACTGTCTGATTTTATGAGCTGCTGAGCACTAGCAGTGCTATTAAAGTGTGAAACATTAACTGAAGCTTTTGAATATTTTGGCATTAATTCCTTTATGCCTGTTTCTCATCAATGTCTTACCTCCATCATAAGACTTTCTTGCACATTTATCAGCATTCATGTCGTGCAGAAGACTGGAAATGTGAGCAGCATATAATTCATAAGAACTCTAAGTGTAGCCTTTGAAATATTCCAGTAACCTGTGAAAAAATAGCTCTGTAGACCTGATTTGATATTTGAAGGAATGTATGTTCACTGCACATTTGTAAGTATAATTTGAACCAAAAAAATTAGGCTTAGATCCTAAGTTGGATGCCTGCCTACACACATAAGAGTTTTAGGCCGTGGTCTGTTTACTGAATATGGTTTGGCTGGTAATGTGATGTTAATTGTATAGATACAGAGGTGTGGCCATATGAGGACACAGAATAACAAGCAGAATCTGTTAAAACAAGACAAAATTAATTCACAACATTCACTGTGCTGTGTTCTTTAAAGCCTGAAATTTGGAGCCTTCAAACTCTGCCACCTGTATCACTCATGACTATAAAGTGGTTGTAGAACATGAATCATTTCTTGCCTATATGCTTGAGCACGGAGGTGGGAAAACTTTACGCAGTCATTAAAGGTGCCCTTGGTTTTGTTTTGTTTCCTTTCCCCCACAGAATATGGCTACAGCACTGCTGCAGTTTTACTTATTACTATTGGATCTATGTTTGGTACAACCCTCATTTTATTTAACTCCTGTCAAGAAATCTATACACTCATTTTACAGCTGTTTGTGGGCTTGGCTGTTGGGACCCTTTCTGGAGATGCACTGCTGCACCTCATTCCGCAGGTAGGCAACATGCCYATTTGTGTTTTTAAAATGTTGGCATATGCACATGAGACTGCGAGTCTCTTTAAAGTCAGGCTAATGGTCAGCTGTTTAAAAAAATAAAAGCTTTCCATAAATCTCAGAATCAAGTATCCAGCATTCTGTTTCTACTTCGTAGTTCAGAGAAAGTTTCCCAGTTTAGTGTTAAGAAGCAGAAATCAATTAAATCAATGAATGATGGATTCTGAGAAAATAAGGTTATTTTCATTACTTTTCAGAAAGCCCGCAAGTCCTGTGAAMACCAAGTTCACTAGATGCAATTCTTTCAAGAGCAAATTATATAACTCGTTTTAGGAAAAAATGGTCAAGGTTTCTCTAAGGCCTCCAGAATCCTCTCTACAAAGTGGTTCCAGAGTGATCTCTGATACGACAAAGCTGTTACTGAATTCGGAATTCAGCTGGTCATAAAAGACTTTTTCACACTTTCTCTTGAAATTCTGGTCAAAATGCTCTTCATACTCAACAGAAAAGGGTCTACTTGAAATGCACATGCCTGTTTCAGGGTGGTCAAATGTTTCATAAATGTTCTACATATTTTAATTGCTAAATGCCACAAAGAACAATCATAATCTCTGGAAGCAGACCTGTGAGAGTGGTTTAAGAAAGGCAATTTTCAGGGCGTGTTACAAAAGTACATTCTTTTAAGAAGAAYGTACTTTTTTCTTTTTTTCTCACTCCTCATGTTTTAAGTGATGCATCTTTTAAAGTGCAAACTTTCAGATGAGGAACAAAGGAAGGCTACCAGGCCTCCAAGAAAAAMTACGGAAGCACGCTCACCAGCAGAAGGTTTTATGAATGGTTTTCAATATGAATTGTACCTTTGTAGTTTACCCAAGTAATTTTTTTAAAATGTAACAATCAATATGGTCCAAACAAAGTATACACAAAGAATAATGTAGAAGGAACAAATTCATAAAATTATCTCTAAAAATAACTCTGCTTTCAAAACGGAGAGATCAGGTAAGCCCTTAATTAATTTCATTCATCTATTGTCCAGCTAATTAGCTCAAAATAGAATTTATATCTGAAAGAGGTAGCAAAAGAAAATAACAAGACTAAATTTGGTTTACATACTATGGATTACAGTAGCAAAAGTCAAAATATTGTTACTTTTAACAGTTGAATTTAACAGTAAGCTTAACAGTATATTTAAATGTTACTTTTACCTTTTAAATATTGTTACTTTTATACTTTTTTTAGATGCTTGGTTTGCATAAACATGAAGCACAAGAGGTAGAACATTTCTATGAAGGGAAAGAATATATTTGGAAGCTTTTGGGAATAATTGGAGGAATTCATGGATTTTTTGTGATAGAAAAGTGTTTCTTTCTTTTGGTAACACCACGTGATCAGGTAATTGGACATTTTATCCTTTTAAAGATCTTTCTCATTTTGAGATATACATTGCACATAATATCAAAATGATTGTGGAAAAATAATTACCGTTTTTATGAGTTAAATGAAGCATGAAGCATTTCCTTCCAAAACAAGTTTGTTCCTTGACCTTCAATTTCTATTTTKCTTTGCTCCATACATTTGTGTTCTCTGTAAATATGATCCATTTATTTATAACTCAAAAAAGGAAATGGTTAATTGAGTTAGTGTTCCATAAGCAGACTTTCATGACTAGCAGTGGAGCAGGTAAAGAATATGTATCCAAATGAAAGAGTAATGACAGTTGTTTACACAAGGCTCTCTTTGGAGAGCAGAAAGACATAGTTGTGAATGAATTCACTAGAAGATATTTTAAAGAATATCTTAATATTTCTGAATTGTTTTTCTATTCCTGTCTAAATGCATTTAGAAATCTAATTGCTACTGAGCAAAATGTTTCRCCAAGTAGAATCCAGTCTTATATTAATAACATCTTTTTGCTCATGGTAATGTTTTTAGTAATTTTATTATTTCGTCTCAGTGTGGCTGCTGCCTGAAAATGTGATTATGCACATGGATATAACATAACGCAAAATGTGGTGGCTCATTAAGMTTCTCAGCATGGAAGGCTATCTTAATGTCACTTAAGAAGGCTAAGCCTTTACTTGTRGTGTTTAACAGAGAATGTTTACTGGCTGGTCTGATTTAGATATTTTGCACTCCCTATTCCAGCTATCTTTGGCTCAGACCTAGGAATATTATGTAAAATCAATATAATTAAAATATTTTGATGCTGGTGATATTTTGTTGGTTTGTAGTAAGTAGTTCCTCGTTTATATTATTTTGGAGAGAAGAGATATATCATTGTCCCACTAATGTTTAAATGTATTCTGCTGCAGATTAGGTGAATTCCAAAARCTACTTTTTATTCATCTCAGCTTCTCATTCCAATCTTTAGTTACAACAAAAAGAAAAATAGTTTCATGCAACATTATGGTTGTCACTGATTTATCTGTTTCACTTCTTAATTATATAAGAATAAGTAAATGCTGATACCAACTAGCAATATTTTTCAACAGTTCTTGTTTTCAAGACGATAATTCTTTTAAATGCTAAACTTTCACAAAAGGCTGAAAAAGATTGCACCTGTGTTCACTGGGCTACAGAACTAATCTGCAAAGCATCTTCATCCAGCAGGGCCTTTCTTTAGCTAATGGTCACTGGAGACATTCCCATGATCTTCCAGTGGAATCTGAAATAAATGAACATTCAGGCAGAGGCAAATCTACTTCAGCTATACAGTTGGTAGGTTTCCAGTGTGAAATACTTTACTGATTTAATTTCCTTCTTTCTTTGTTCCTCACAAAATGAACCCCAATAATATAATAAATCAATTTTATTTTTTCAGTCCTTATTGATTTGTCCTTTATTACATGAAATGATTTTCAGGAATCTGTAGAGAGATTGCAAGCACAAATCTTTACAATAACCTTTCTTAAGTTTTCTTAAGAGACCAGATTAATATGTTGGTACATTTTCCTATAATACCTTTTGAAGAGAAAACTTTTGAAGACATGCCATCATTCTTTTTAAAAATATATCATGTTAGGGCAGACTGCCCCCCTGGAAAGACTTCAGAATATTCTGCAGCAAAAGCTAAGTGTATAATTAGTGGACAGGTGAAATTCTGGACTATTCTTGAGCTTTTCCCACAATTTTGCTTAATGCTTCCACATCTTTGCTTAACATAAGCAAGAGGAATATCTGGGAGTAGTGCTTGCCTATGAGGTATTGCATAATTTCCTATTGGTCTGTGGAGAGCATACAAATGGATACATCTTTTATGTACTGAACTGACTCATACTTTTCAACCTTTTTTTTCTCTTTTTCCAACCACTTCTTCCAGTTTATTTATAACATCTAGATAYGTTTAGTGCTTATTTAAATCAGATCCCTCCACCACTTTCAGATTGTAAACTACATTTTAATAAACCAGTTGTGGTCTTTAAGATTCTCATGAGCCACTGCTAATCTCTCTAAAGCAGCTGGGAAACTGTTAATTGAATGAATGTAGAAGAAACAGACTAGTGAAGACTATTTACTAATTTGTAAGCCATGTCGTAGTTTCCTGTTTATGATACCGAACAATCTAGTCATTCCTTCCAGTTGCAAGCTGATCCTAATGTTATGTATAGATGACATGAACTAGCCTGCCTTAGCTAGCTTATGTAAGAGCAGCCAATTTTTCAGAGTCATGTGAGTAATAGTAAGACAAACACTGGTTGACTAAGAAAAGCTTATAAATCCTTCAGGTCAGTGATTAGTGTTTGAGTTTTGACTCAGAGTTCAAAAAAGTGGCATGTGAATAAATATTATAAGAGAAGTGGAACAATTACTGGAATTCAAATGACTGGATGCAATCATGGGAATTATTTTTCCTCTTAAAATGGAGAATTTTAAAACCCAATTCCTTACCATTCYCTCTCCGTGCCTCTACAGCACATATCCCACATCACAACCAAGCTATCACCAGCCAAGAAACATATGCCATTCTGAAGTCAATGCACATTGGTGCCATAGATTTTTTTGGAGCAGTGGCTGCTGACCTAAACAAAGCACTCTCTCTCCGGCTGCTGGCTCCTCGCTGGCTGCTATAACAGCTTGAGCATGTTTGTTGGCCAGCAAAACAAAAAGCAGAGATTAGAAATTCAGCTTTTCTAAACAAACAAGAAGTTTTTCCTTCTTGCACAAATCTCTAATATTTTTTCTTCCCATGTACGCTAAAAGGAAAGTAGAGAGAGAAGGTGATTCTTTATATTCTCTCTTCTTTCTGCACATTTGCAGGTTTTGATAGTTAAGCATTGGGGCTGATGCATCAAACTGACTCAGGGCAGGAGAGGAAATCTGTTCTCTCTTTCTTCACTTGGAACAAGGGTAAATTTCTCTAAGCTCAGTGCAATGTACATTGCACTATACACATGCTGCTATACGTGCCAGTGGTTCCTGGTGCTGAGACAAAACYCAGTCCAAAGACCAGGGGACTGGACACTGGAGACTCGTTCTAAAGGAAAAATATCCTTTAAAAGTAATTTCCCCTCCCTCTTTTTTGAAAGGGTGTTACAAGAACTGCCCTTGACACAACAGTTTTCATACTGAATGTAAATTAAACAAATCCTGTTTAAAATGGTTTATTAATTGCATCTGCTGCATGTTTTTCTGGTTAAACRAAAAGTCTTACTGGCCTTTTCTGTGGCACCAGCCATGCTGGGGGAAGGAGAGAGGCGAGCAGTTATTCTGAAACCTATCTGGGGGCATCTTATTTAGTCTTGTGTTTTCACAGAGTAGCTAAGAACATGAAYTCAAAGGAGACTTTGTTCTCTACCTATTTGTCCCTGAAAATCCAATAGACTATTCAGAAGGAAACTACAATCCTTCTGTCATGACAAAATTGAGGGAGAGAATCTGAATGATCATGTCCTTTTTAGGCCTGCATTTGGCTCCAACTTTGTGCTTTCAGGCAGCAATATGATTTTTTTTCTGGGGTGCAACAACACTTACAAATGTCTTTCTTGGGCTGTAACCTCTTCTGCGCAAGGGAGGTTTCTTTTTTTAAAATGCATTTCTGCTGCACCGATCACACTGATAATGCTCAATCCTAATCATATGTTTGCAGATAGACACCACTAACTTTATTTTAAAAATTATGAATTTTTCTGATGTTTTCCTCTGTTGTAGCAGTAGCCGGGAGAACCCTTTGACACTGATCCATTATCTTTCCTTTTAATTAGAGAAGCCCGGAAGATTCTGAGTCTGCTGAAGTTCCTCCGGACAATAAGGCAATCAGCAAAAAAAGTTAGTATCAATAAAAATAACTAAACAAGCAACAGAAAAAGCCTTAAGACCTAAGATGGAATTGAAAGTGTGAAGCTGGCTTAGCTGTGTGTTTGCTATGTGCTACATCACCACATCTGATGGTGCTTGGCTACATAATTAAATCTCTGCTTAAAGACCTTTCCAGCTGCCAACTCTGTAATTGTGAAGTTCATTAATCTTGCACTCTCCATGCTCCAGTGTTTGTTTACTCACTGTTGCAAACTATTTTTCTAAAGCTTTTGCTTAAAGAGAAACATCCAAAATTTAATATGAGACAGATTTTTGTAGTTGTAAACCTTGCTTGGGCCTTTGTTGCTGAAGGTAGTGGAATCATTTTTTTTTCCTTCTTTTTGGCTCATGATACCAATATAATTCTGCTTCTTTCTTGTCTTACATGGTAAAGTAATAGTGTCTTTAAGCTAATAATAATTTATTACATGTGTGGAATTCTGAGCTCTTGATGGCGCTCAGTTTTAGGGTAAACTTTTTTTCAGAAGGCTTTGAGGTAGTTCTTATCTACTCTGCTTTTCTACTGCTTTCTTGAGCAAATGGGAAAATAGACCATACAACAAACTCTGCCTTTGCCTGTACCTATGTAATTGTAGTTATTTAACTGAGAGACTGCGGGAATAGCATTGTAATTGGAATCAATTTATATGCTATAATTTCCCCTTTAGTTTGTGATCTCAGGTCATGGGCTCAAGTTACTTAACAATTTCAATATCTTCCTGAGGTTTTTTAATGTTCTTCTCTGTTCTTATGGATTTTCTTTGCATTTGGAGGCATGAACTTCACTTTTTGAAGCCTGTGTCAGTCTACTCCACCTCTACATGTATCCTTTCCATTCAGTCATCACTATCTAATAAGCAGAAACATGTTTCTAAGGGTCTCAATATTAGTTGCTCCAAATGGAGTATAACTAAATTTGTAGTGGTTTCTTAGTAATATTCTTTGTTTCATTCTATTTAATTTTAGCAATAGCTCAGTTCCATGTGGGTATTACAAATCTCTGAGTGAAATTGTCATAAGGAGGGTATTTTTGTTTTGTTTACTGAGAATACACATTTTCAAAAGTTTTTGTGTTGTTGCACTTTTTACTAAGGATGGGATGCATTAGCATATTGAGTACCTTGATAATGAGCTAAACTTTTAGATGGTTGCTCCTAAAATTGAATGGATCTAAAATGGAAAACTGATGTTCTTGGAAATGACAGACTTCTTTATAAATGCATGTTGAATAGGGCTAAAAGACCAGTCAGTCAATTTAATCAGCAAGAAAAACAGAAAGCAAGAAGCTACTGGAAGAGAAAGACCTTTTTCATTTTTTATTTTTTTATTGCTGCACACTTGCTCTTCTATCAGTACCTCAAAAGATCAAAGAGTAATGTTTTGTATTTGGTATTCTCAGTAACACATTATGTTAACTCGAATATTTTTGCTCTCTGTGTAGTGAAAACATTGAAAAACAGGTCTATTTATGAGTAAATGTTTGCTTTAGCCCTGTTATTCAGAGATTAGAAATCATAATCTATATCCTGCTCCCATTAGCTTTATGAAAAATTACGAAATAGAATCTGAGTTCCTATCCCCTATTGAAGCAAAGAATCCACTAATACTATCAATATGAATGTGTATGTGAGAGACTTTGTAGAAATATTTAAAGCAGTAAGTTAATAATTGCAGCAATGTGATGCAATTGCTAGGAACAAAGCTGTACTTTAAATAGCTTGCAAATACAAGAAGAAAAGCATTCATTTTTTTCTGAATGCATCTTCTTAATTTGCAGGCAAGTAAGTTCACAAAACTTAAGTTTGTAAATGCTCCATAATGTTGACCTGAGCCCCATGTTATGTTATAGACAACATGCTGGAATGAATTCTGGTAATTATGGCTTTATCTTTTTCAACAATCAGATACTTGAATATAATGCATTAATAATATCTCAGGGCAGGCCATGATTTTGTCCTCGCCAGTGCTTATTACGAGTCAAAACTTAATGTAGTGGAGCAATCTATCATCTCTGTGCAACTCGGGCCCTGCACTATTGATTATAAACTGCCCATAGTGTTTAGAAAGAGCTGGGCAAGCTGGGGACAGCCACGTCTGACTCTGTAAGCTGGCAGGGAAATCTAACAAGCCTGCCAATATTTCTGAGCCCGCAGAGCTCCCAGGCAACTGGGGAGGATTTTCTGAATACAGTTGTTAGGCTTTTATGTGCTGTGTGTTGGGGTTTTTTTTCTTTTCTTTTTTTTGTTTTTGTTTTTTTTTTGTTTTTTTTTTTTATTAATAGTCTGAAGGCTTCAGTTCTAGCCAGTTTATGTAAGAAAAACATCTTCCCCATTACTATAAAACAGTATTCTCTGGAAGAATGTTGCTGAAGTAAAACCTTTTAATAACAGTACACAGGCAGTTCTGTGCAGCTCCACGTTGGGTCCTTGGACTGTCACGTTATGTCTGTGTGGGGTCAGTAAAATCGGGATGCTTGGAGTCCAAATCTTGACCCTGCTTCTTCAGGCATAAAACTGTCTTTTGCAATGTGTTCTCCCCATGCTATACAGCAAAAAATTAGATGAATTTCTTGGGTGGCTTGTAGGAAATCCTGCTTGTATGGCAAGGAGTGTGGATAAAATGGATAGACCAAAGCACAGGATAGGGCAGTGTGTTATATGTTGCTAAGCCTAAGTATTGAACCTAAATATTGAGCTTCAGTGCGGCTTAAAGAGATAAAATCCTTCCCGTTCATTGTGCTCCCCACTGTCAGGGCTTCAGACAACACAGAGAGACTGTCACTTAACACTGAGCTTGGTTCCAGTCCTCATCTCACCAATACTGCCTTTCCTCTTGTGTCATATCCCTGATCATGAACATCCACAGCAAAGCAATGACACAAAACAGCATGGAAAAGAAAACAGCTATCTGCATCCATGAGAGAGGCTACAGACAGGAATGCTATGAGCGTAAGGGCCATTAATTGATTGGAACAAAAGCTGGATATGAGCATGCGTCAACACCATACTAACAGGGGTGCTCTGAGCTTTATTGAGTCTCATCTCTATTTTTCAGTGTAAAACAATCACATAAGGAATGGACCCTGAAAATATGGCTCAGCATTAAAATGCCTTACAGTATTAAGACGATCAGCTGCATGAAACTAAATATTCCTCTTCATTAGAAAATTCCCCCCTTCTAAGGAAACAACAACAACAACAACAACAACAACAAAAAAAAGAGAGACATGTGAAAACTTCTGTGAATTTCAGCAGCCAAAGAAGGTTTAATAGGAAACCCTTAGAGCATATCATGAGATTGGACTCAAACCGGACGAAGTTGCAAACTTTTTGTTTAAACAATTGACCCAGTAAGGAAAGGCCCAAAGGAAGCTACTTCCTGGTATTTCCCTCTCTGAATTATTCTGCAACYTGTCCTATGCTGTCAAGTTTATTGAGAGCAGTGTAATAAGGACAAAACTATCCAACACTATTGTCCTCTGATTATTGTGGCTTTTCATAACATTATCTGTAAATTTACCAGAAAAAAAAGTCATTTATAAACCAAATATTRCAGCAACTGTTCCTGCTATAACCCTGAGGCTTTTTTTTTTTCTTTCATAGGTAAAAGAATTAGCTTGTTAGCAATAATGGTTCTGGTGGGTGACGGTCTTCACAACTTCGCCGATGGTTTGGTAATAGGAGCAGCCTTTTCATCCTCAACAGAAACAGGTGTGACAACGACTGTTGCTATTTTATGCCATGAAATTCCTCATGAAATGGGTAAGAAATATATATATATGTATTTTCCTAATTGGCTTTGTAATTCCAAATTTCACAAAGAATTCCTTCCTTTATGCCCTTAGTAGGAATTCTTCATGGTCTAGCATCACCAAACATAGTGTAATGCATGAGGATGGGTCATATGAAGAGGGCAGGAAATTCTCTTGCCTTTTTAGAAAAAAAAAGGGGGAAATTCCTGCCCTAATTATTGATCACCATAATATCTTACCTTGTTCATCTGTAAATGCTGTCAGGTCACTATGGTCTCATGTGTACAGACACAAAAAAAAGAGGTGAGCAAAGGGTAAGRGCTGTGTGTGCCAAATGGGCTTGTCTGGCACAATGGATTATCCAAGAGTTTTAACATGTAGCAGAGCCATTTAACAAGGTATTCCTCATAAAGSTCATTGCTGCTACTAATCAGGAACAACGGAGCAATAAAAGAAGATACACAAATCGTGGTATTGGCAGGCAGGACAGCAAGACAGTTTTAGTGAATGTTTTTTCTTCTATTGCTGTAAATCTTTCAATACAATTGCAGTTGCTCCTGACAGTGTATTGATGAACATAATATGCTGGCAAGTCTGAAATGAGAAATATGGATTCTGGTTTTCTTTCTTAAATGACTGGATTAAYTTATGTGCTGTCTGTATAGATAACTTCCCCCAAACAAAAAGGTAGGATGGGGAATTCTTACAAAACTGTCAGAATTCGTGTTGGTGTGGAAAAGAAATTACCGGAATACTGAACAGCTAACTCTAAAACAGATGCAGTAAATTCTGGTGCAGTGATGCCCCTGCAACCARGTGGCACAGGAAGTAAATCAATAAATTTCTGTGGTTGCAGAGAAGACTTTTAGAAAGTCATTGTTCTTGACCTTTCAGGACATAGGTTATTTCAGAAGAAAAATCTTGTGTTATAGGATTCTGATCTGTTATTTACTGAAGATACTATGCCTGAAATCAGTGGAAATAAGCTTTCAAACTGGAAACAGATCAGCATAGTCCTTTCTGCCTTGTAGCACCTGTAAAACACTCAAAGACCATGTTGAGTGTATACTCACATACTCACATGATTTTAACTGGCACGTTCCCAATCAAGAAAGATTTAGAAACTCTGGGAAAGCATGTGACTTCACGTTTGCATGTATCCAAGTTGGAAATGTCACAGAACATTGAGAACTAACAGAAAGCCACTCCTGTGGGCAACTGTATGCTATCTTTAGGAAAAACTAAACAAATACAAGGGGATATAATTTTTTTTTTTTTTTGCACACAGCATGCATTTATAACAAATTCTACAGAAATCTAAGGGCAGTCCTCCAGCATTCATTATCTTCTTTGTGCATATCTTTCCCTCATGTTTTATTACAAGGAATTTTGAAAATATGTTTATCAGATAAGTAATAAATTTTCTCTCTTCTTTTTCTCTACACAGGAGATTTCGCTGTGCTGCTAAGTACAGGGCTCCCCACGAAGATTGCAGTTTTGATGAATTTTATAAGTGCACTAACAGCCTTCTTAGGGCTTTATATTGGCCTTTCTGTATCAGCTGACCCATGCATTCAAAACTGGATTTTTACTGTTACAGCTGGAATGTTCTTGTATTTATCTTTAGCAGAAATGGTGAGAATGAAAGTCTATTATTATATTTTCCTCATTTTCCTTTTAACTTATCAACATCACAATAAGTGTCAGATAAATACAGGGAGATAAATTTAGAGGAAAAAAAGAGTTTATAGGTTTCTTGAGATGAACCTGTTTTCTTCTCTGAGACTGTACAGGGCAGTATGAACAATGAGAATTTTTTTTATTGTTCATTTTCACTTCCAAAGGAAAATTTTGAACCTGCATTTTTTTTAAGTCTTGAAGGACTTGGTTGTTTTTTTCCCTTACATACTATACTCCTGATATGTTTTTCACACATTATTTCAATAAGAATTTCCTGTTTCTCAACTTAATAGAAAATGCGTATCTTATGTTCTTTCTAGCCAGTCTTTCTGTATCAGAGAGGTTTGGGTGAGTTCCATAAACAATTTAAAACACCTCAATTTTCTGACATTTGCCCATAATTTTTCATACTCTTAGATCAATAGCAATGATCAAACATTTAGAAGAGAGGGAAAAAAAAAAAAAAATAAAAAAAGGAAGGATATACATTCAGAGTAGGGTTTAAAGATTGTGGAATGTGACCGAATCATAATTCAGGCAGGTGCTTCAGGCCACATCCTTTATGGAAAGGTTGGCTCTTACCAATGAAGAAGTTAGTTACCTTGCCAGCTTGTTAGACACTTAAGTGTCACATGGTTCTTTACCTTTATAACATAGAATCATAGAATCATAGAATGCCGAAGGTTGGAAGGGACCTCAGAGGTCATCGAGTCCAACCCCCCTGCTCATGCAGGGTCACCTAGAGCACATGGCACAGGGCTGTGTCCAAGCGGGTTTTAAAGATCTCCAAAGAAGGAGACTCCACAACCTCTCTGGGCAGCCTGTTCCAGTGCTTTGTC